ATATATATATATACTGTATGTATATATAGCATAACACAAGTGTCAGGTACCTGTCCAGCTCTGGTTTTCTCACACACAAATGTTTTATACACAGAGGCAAAGACTGGAGCGTTGTCATTGATGTCGATCACACGGATGTAAACAGGAACATTACTACGCTGTCGAGGGTTATCTGAAAGGCAAACAGAAGAAAATCAACCTTTACATATTTTTCTACATCTTAACCTTTTTAAAGCTCTCAGTGAGCAGCTCTGTCTTCTGATGAGATCAGAAATCCTCTTTTCTACTCACATTTCTCTCAAGTCTCTGGAGACATCCTTAATAATTCAAGATTAAGGTATATTTTGCGTTTTGGCTTTAAAATAAATGAACGATGAAAGCAATCTTTGCACAATCTGAGTACCCCCATGATCCCGGGGGCTATGTTATTATTGGATCGCACTTCTTAGCCTCACTGGAAAAGTTTATTCAGACCAGTTATTAAATCATAAATTCAGGAGGAAGTTTGTGGCTTTCATCCTGGTTAACGAACAGTGAACAAGAATTTTACTCTGATAGCGTTGCTAAGGGGTCATGGGAGTTTGATTCTTCAGTCTACAGGTGATTTGTGGATCTGGAGAAGAATTATGACTGTGTTTGTTCCCTGAGGTATTTTGCTGGTGGTGAAGTATGGGGTGTTTGGGTTTTTCTTGTGGACTTGTTGGCCCTGTGGACCGACCACAGATAAGAGGTAGAAGATTGGTGGATGGGTACTTGTAAACAGATCTGGTTCCTTATTGTTAAGTGTTTGATGAAAACCTTTATTTTGGTTACCAGCTGAGAATAACATCCCAATAGCATCCATAGGTTCAGTTTCTACACATGTATGAGTCCAACGATCATTAACCTTCAGGATGACACAAACTGTTTAATGATGTTATAATTTTATTCTTAGCATTTATTAAGAAATAAAGTTGGGTCTAAAATAAAAACACTTACCAGACCTACACACCAACCAGTCTATGAACCAACTGAACAAACCAACCAATCAACCAGAAGTAACAGACAGTTGTGTGAAACATGGTTTCAATAATAATAACCTGACTTTTCATAAGTGTATGTGAAAAATGCAGCTAGATAAAACTTTTATTAGTACATAAATATTAAACGGCAGATCTGATTCACTTACTGATTTCTGTGGCGATGACTGAAATATTGTGCCAGGCAGACTCCTCTCTGTCCAGACCTCTGAGCAGGAACACTGAGCCATTCCCCGGATGGATGTTGAACAGGTGATCCATGTCGGTGTGTCGGTTGATAGAGTACCTGGACATAAAAATAAGACTATCAGACACCATGTGGTGACAGATCCAAGTCAAAATTCTGGATTTCTTTTAGAAAGATTTAGGTCTTAAAGGCTGTTGAGTGGAAAAGCCATGAACATTGTATTTTTAGAGCTTAAAGTACATTGTTAACATTTTTGTTGGTTCAGTGTGGCTTTCCTCTTTCTACCAGACCCAAGCTGATCAAATAAATACAGAAATAAATAAAATAAAACCTCTTCAGTCTGTTCCTGTTGATGGAACAGATCAAATGTTGGTAGGATCATTAAGTAATGTGATGTACTACATCACACATCAACAGTACATCTGAGGGTGGCGGTGTGTGTGTGTCGGGGTCTTCTTTTATTTTATTTATTT